GTTGCAGCATTGCCCTGGGACTCCGGTCCCCCACCCGGGCCTTTCCATGCTACTCCAAGCTGAGTGTGGGTCTGGTACTTTGCTGTAAGCATCTTTGTCATTGACATCTTTGCTGCAAGCATTTTTTGCCACATGACTAGTGAGCCATAAGACCATTTTGCTGTAAAAGATTAAAAAAAAATAACGGGTAGATGGTTTAGTTTTGTTTCTTCATTAATGCAATGTGCCCATTTTTATATTATTATTACTTTTTAAAAGATTTATTTATTTATTCTTGAGGGACACGGAGAGAAAGATAGGCAGAGACGTAGGCAGAGGGAGAAGCAGGCTTCATGCAGGGAGCCCAATGTGGGACTCGATCCCAGGACCCTGGGATCACGCCCTGAGCCGAAGGCAGACGCTCAACCACTGAGCCACCCTGGTGACCCTATTTTTATATTCTATAAATCTTTGCCTTCATGATGGTCTATACAGCTACACAGAGTGTTGAACCCACATTTCCCATAGATCTTTGGGTCTCTGGCAACGGGCACATGACAATACGCCAAGAGCAAAGCGGTGTAAGAGGCCTTCACAGCTCTACACAAAGCTCAGTTACAAAGATGGATCCTAGTACTTGGAAACACATACCTCTCTCAGCAAAGGAAGACATTGCAGTGAAGAAAGAAAAAGTGAGACACCCAATTAGGAGACAAATCTACCAGTGCGTGCACACACATATAGCATCCTGATATTGGGATGGAAAGGCTTTGAAGACAAGTACTTTTGTACAATCCACAAAATAAAATCAGTTATTTGAACAGTGTTGCCATGAATCTACACATTTTGAATGTATTCAAATATTTTGAATTTCACTGAAAAGTCTTTTTAATGTTTTTATTCACTTTTCACTTTTTATGATGTCCTCTTTCATGAAAGTCTCTCTTCTATTTTTCATGATGTTTGTCTTTTACAGCAAAATTGCCTCATGGCTAATTAAGTTATGGGGTGAAGATGCTCGCAGCAAAGTTGCTGACTACCAAGCTGCCTGAACCAGCTGACTGGCCACCTGGAAGGCCCTTCTCTGCCTTTTGTCTGCTCACAGCCTTGTCATCCTTCAGTGCCCTCACCATTGCCTCCTCCAGGAAGCCTGCCTAGATAACACAAACCTAAACCCCTTCTCTGGACTTCCCTGGAGTCATCTATAGAGCTTATCTTTGTCCCTCGTTTGCCTTATGCTGCTCTTCTGCATAGGCCAATCCCATCTTCCATTGGTTGTAGGTTCCCTGAGCGCCGAGACCTTGTCTTCAGTTGTCCACCCTGCTCCTTCTCTGCCCCAGAGACAGTTCTTCACTGGTGGGGTGGGGTGTGTTGGTGCCCCAGGAGAGCCGAGGGCAGGCCATCTGGACGATGAGGGAAAAACCAAGCGGAGTGAGGACAGGACAGCAGTCATCAGCAGACCAGGCCACACTGCCCGCGGTGCAGGCTGGGCTGTGACCAGAGCGCCTTGGGGAAGAGAAAGGATAGCAACAGTTCTAGATGCTGTGCTTTGGAACCTTTTATCTCACGGCCCTTTCGCAAGAGGACTTTGAGGTAGTAGGTCTTGTTATCACCATTTGATGACTGTGGAAACAGGTTTGGAAGGGCATGGTTGCCTGCCCAAGCGGAAGACGCTACAGCTGACCCTCTTGAGGTGGGCTCCCTGAACAGGTTTTTGTGATGCGTTTCCCTGGGTTCTTTTTGGTGATCTCAGTAGCTGCCAAAGGGGGAGGCTTAGTGGCTCCTTAATGACCTCGCAGACCCTGTTCTGAGACACATGGACATTTTATTAGCAAGCAGGCACAGAAGAGTATTGTGGCCGTTCAGCAAGTTCCATGAAGTTCCAGCTCTGTCAGCCGGGGTGTTTCCAATAGTGCCTTGAAGAAGAGGTTCCCTCAGGTCAAATGTGACCCTGTGCCAGCCACAGACTAGGTTGCTGTAGGAGTTAGGTAACCAAGGCTCCGCTAGGACAGCCAGGGGACACGGGCAGCTAACGGGATCCACCTGGGGTGCCATCCCCTATGGTGAAAGACAAAAGTCATCCTAGGGGGGTTTTGGCGTGTGACAATTTTTTATCGACATATCATACACTTAGAAGTACACCAATCAGAAGGGTACAGCTCAGTGAATTATCACAAAGTGATCAGAGCTGTTTGGCAGCTCCCACTCAGAAAAACAAAATTTAACCTGCATCCCAGAAGGTCTTTGGTGGCCCCTCCTACTCACTATGACCCCTGCCCACAAGGGCAACCACTAGCCTGAATTCTAGCAGCACAGATGATCTGTTTTGCTACTCTATGCAAATGGAATCATACAGTCTGCCTTTCTTTGTGCCTGGCTTCGTAAACTCTACATTACGTCGTCAGATTCATCTATGGTGCTGCACGTAGTTATAAATGATTCATGGCTCTCCAGTGTTCAACTGTGCAAATACTCCACAATTGATTTCTTATTCTATAGTTGATAGACTTTTCTGTTGAGTCAAGGGTAGTCATGTTTGGCTTTAGTAGTCTTTTTAGTAGCAAAAAATTTTCAAAGCAGTTGTAGCATTTTATACTCAAACCAGAAATACCGAAAGTTCCAAATGTTCCATATCCTTACTGAAACTTGATAATGTCTGCCTTTTTTTTAAAGATTTTATTTATTTATTCATCCACACACACACACACACACACACACACACACAGAGGCAGAGACACCGGCAGAGGGAGAAGCAGGCCCCATGCAGGGAGCCCAATGCGGGACTTGATCCCAGGTCTCCAGGATCACACCCCCAGCTGAAGGCAGGTGCTAAACCGCTGGGCCACTGGGGCTGCCCAATGTCTGCCTTTTTGATTTAGTTATTCTGGCAGGCGTGAGGTGGCATTGCACTGATTTAAGTTTGCACTGCCAGGATCAGTAGGGAAGTAGAAGGCTATTTCTTACATTGTGTTTCTTGTTTTTAAATGTGGAGATTTGTCCTTAAATATCTTTGCCCATCTGTTATCTCAAATATCACCAACGTCACCTTTCTAACATTCTTTATGCTAGTTAACAAGCCACCATTTTCCTTGAGAAAATATTTTCCTGGAATCCTTTATGCTAGTGACAAAACCTCCAGGTGTTGATGGGAGATAAGAGAGAGCAGAAGCACTTGTAGCAGGCTTCTGAAAACCAAAATAGAACAAAAAAAAGAGAACCACCACTATTTGATCAGCTGTCCATCCCTGGAGGAGATACTGACTGGCACAGCTGTCCCATCCTTCAGGTATTGCTTACAACCAATGTACCATAAGTGTAGTATCATCGCTGAGGCTAAAGGGCTGTTAAGTAAGAAACAGATTTCATAATATGGCGTCTAAGTCTTCTTTCCACTCCATCTCTCTGCCATCGCAAGCACTATGACAACGCATGTCACGTGGCTCAGTCATCTTATCCCATGGGGATCTTCAGGCTGCTGCTAACCCAAGCACTGGACTCTCTTCAGGTACAAGGAAATGGAGAAGGAGCAATGTGCTCATTGATTCTATGAGGAATCTCTTTGATTGGCAGTTTCTCAGTTCAAGGGCAAAGCCACTCAAACAGGCTTCCCTGAAGCAGCTCTAGAAGTCATCTAAGCCTTGCCAGGAACCTATGTCCATGGCTTCCAGGGACAGATCTACCAGTGCGTGGCTTTCTCTCCTGGAACGTGGCTGGGGGTGGGGACAGAGGTTCCAAACCAGGGATGCTGATCAGCAATTGACCTTTCTTATAGCTTCAATGTGATTTATGGAGTAGATAGATTTGGGAGGATGAGTTTCTTCACCTCCAGGACTTTGGAGCTGTCCCTTATGGGTCACCAGGCGAGGAAGGTGTAGGCTGGCCAGATTTCATTCAGTGACATGCTTGGAGAAGACTTCTGACTTTCCTAGAACAGTTCCTTTTATTTAATCAGACAAGCTGGCAAGATGTCTGCTTTTCCTTGGTCACTTACCTAGACACTTGCCTGAATCAGGGAAGAAAACATATATATATATATATATATATATATATATATATATATATATATATATATATATATATATAAACTTTCTTGTTGAGCAAGTCTGGAGATCCCTGCTACATTTCCAGGCAGGCAGGAGACATTGCAGAGGGGAAACTGAGAGTACATTCAGGATGACATACCACAGTCATTGTCAGGCTTATGAGGAAGCACTTTTGAGGGCTGAAAGGGTGGCATGTTGACCATCCCTTCACTGGAGGATGACAAACAGCAAAACTGCAATCACTTCCATGACTCTTAAGGAAGACAAAGCTTAGGCTAGTTGGCAATTTTCAGTGTACTCAAGAGTGTACTTTTGAGTTCAAATATTCTTGAAAACTCTGTGTTGGAGAAAGAAGAGGAGGAGACTTGTAGATGCGGCAGCACGACAGGAGTGGAGGGTCAGAAAGGCACAAAGGAGGAACCGGAGAGCCCAGGAGCCACCATGATGACCACAGACACTGCCAAGCAAGGGAGGCAGACCTGACCTAACACCCGGAGCCCCAGGGGTCAGCTGTGCTCCAGGCCCAGCCTGCAAGGGGTTCCAGTCTAGGAGGAGTTTCCTGGACACCAAAGGCCTGAGTTCTTCAAGCTTGACAAGGCTTGAATGGGCACTGGCTTCAGTGTTTGCTTCTCTAGAAAGACAAAAAATGAGGGTGCTGCCTGCTTTACTTGTCTGTTTTCCAGCACTCCCAGGCAGATGGGGGTGGTTTTGCTCCACACCCAGACGGCCCAGAGCCACATCTGATCTACTCAGGCCCCCTCCATCCCTGGGGTGGTAGACCAGAAGCTTAGAGGCAAGGCTTGGGCAAGCCATTATGGCCACTTGTACCTTTTGTGCATCTTCAAAGGGCAAGGGGAAAGCTGAAACCATGTCTAGGTTTTGGAATCTGGAATCTCTAGCATACAGAGGGCACAAAAATCCATTGGTGCTACCCTGCCCCTCACAAAGGAGATAAAAATGCTCACTGGAGCCCAGATATAAGATTTAACGCCATTGTATTTATTAGGTTCTGAAACAATACACATTCACATCCTTTTGAATACAGTACATTTGGCACAATAATGTTTACAATGAAATAACACTAATGAATGGCAAGAGATTAAAATTACATCCAGAAAGGAAAAAAAATGTACAAATAAAGCATCACAATACAAAAAAAAACCCTAAGATTGAATACATTTTATATTTAGCCAGAATTATTTTGCACATAATTTAAAAAGAGGTAATTTTTTAGCCTTTTTTTTTTTTAAAGCAAGAATGCATTTTTTTTTTCACCTTTGGAGGAAAAAAATGATGTTTCCACTTCACAAAGTCCATAATGAGAGAACACAGGAGAACAGCTATCCTTCATATATTTTTTTGGCATTTTTTTTTTTTTGCACTCAAGAGCTGGATAGATTAGAAAGAAATGTAACAGTGCGTCCGCTTCCTAACCCTTGTGAAAACTGAAAGGAAACAATGAATACTCAAGGAACACACAAGCTTTTTTCTATAGACGACATGGGATTTGAACCTGCCCGTGTGAGAACTTGATCAGCTCTGGCCCCGAGCAGGAGGTGTCCCAGCCAGCCCAGCTTTGGTGCCGAAAGGGGGCATCTCCGGGCCAGGCACCCCGCGAGTGAACACCTGGAGCTGCCGGGTGGAATGTATTGTTTGACTTTCCAGCAAAAATGCCAGTTGTCCTGTAGGAAGGGCCCAAGTGCTGCTGACAAGGGAACACCCCCGAGGCCTTGATGCAGGCCACTTGGCGTTGCAGTTAGAGCTTGGTTGTTCCAAGTTCCTCATGGTGAAGGAAGGAGAGGAAAAACAGAGCAGTAGTGATGCATGAGTATGACGGGCAGTATTGTCATGTCTTCTTAAAAAATGAGATGATGCCACCATGAAGATGTTTCTGTGCTTGTACTCAACTCCAGAAGATAGTCTCTCCCCAGTATGTCAAGTTACCGAAGATAAATTAAGTTAATCTACTGTTCTTCATCACTTCACTGGTACGCCAAACACACAGATTGATATAATATTTGAAATTATCATAGGAACAGATAATAATTACACCTGAGTTTTTAAAAAATTAAAAACAAAAGAGAACTGAATGTCATCGTTAGTAACAAAGGCTATGACCAGCCAGATGCAAATATGGACACCAGCTTTCTATGGGCTCGAGCCAGTCACCGTCCAAGCTTTGAAACCACCATCAGAAACATTCCTTTCTCTTCCCCATCTCTATCAGGGCATAATAGAGCACAGGAGAACCAGATGTGAGATTTAATTAGCTTAATATATGTTTACATCTTTTGAAATAACCCAAAATGAAATAAACAACACAAAGGACTCCTCCCCACCCTCCAGAAAGAAAGAAACACACCTTATCTCTCGGTAACTTGAACCAATACGCTTACAGAGTATTGCACCTGGACATTATTATAATTATTCTTTCATAGACTAAAGTTTTATAATATGCCTGAACATGCAGCAGTTGATACCTCTAAATTCAATGAATTAATTCCACAGGCCTTGCAGCAAACACTATATACAAAAAATCTCAAATGTACAAAGGGCAAAAAGCTTCATTAGTGCCACTTTGCCACTCACAAGTATATATATTTAGGGGCAGCTGGGAAATCCACGTGCAACAGTTGGAATGGATTCCATTCCCTGCTAAATCAGTTCAGTAAAATAGATAATCAAATGACCTCTGGGAAACATATACACAAAGCCACAGAGAACCCTTGGAAATCAAAGAATGTAACACTGTTAGCATATCTACAGGAGGTAACATCACATCCATTAAATAGTGTCCACATGAGTTGCCACCGCTGGTCGCACAGAAACACGACTCCAAGTACATCGGGCCACATTGTCAGTTTTCAGACAAGTTGCTCTTCTGTCTCTGGACACCCTCCACATAACCCACGTTTAGCCTCATTCTGCTTGTCTCAAAAGCAGATATTTCATATTTCACTTTACACGTGTAATGTCTAAAAACCACGACACAGTAGTACTACCATTTTCGTAGAAGTGCGCAAAAAGAACACACCGTTGCGGGAAATAAATAGAGCATCTGCTGGGAGCATAGAATGAAACTGGAAGGAGAATTTGGGAGTGAGTTTCACTAGAACTTCAGGGTCTGGGCCATCGCTGGGGTGGCCTCTGTGTTTAGGCAGAACTTGAAGAATGAGGAACACTACTAGTTTCCTTCTCTCTCAATTCTTCCGGCCCCCAAGTGCCATGAAAGCATTAATAGCATGAACCTTGGACAGTTGGTTTCTCATTGTATATTAGCCCTTTAATATCTACCTGCATTAATATTGGAATTTATATCTTTTGGCCAATCAGAAAGCCAATTCACGAATAGATTTTTCAAATGTTAATCGAGTTCAAAAGCAAATTTCTTTTTCTATAAAGAGTGGTTTCTTCCATGAGATCCGTGCTCTCACAACTTTGGCATGGCCCAAAGCTAAAACCAGAGCAAGCAAGAACGAGCCATTCCAAGGTAGCCAACCTGTGCACCTCGAGGCCTGTCTCCTTCACAGCAGGTCCCGACGGCACCCACCCCCCAAGCTGGAGAAGCACCCGTCTCTCCCGGACAGAAGGGCAGAGGGTGGCAGGCGGGGGAAGGAAGGACGAAGAAGTGAGAGTTGTCGGGACCCTCGATCCAATTGCAGAGCCAGGGTCTTCTTATTTGCTTTTTTTTCATGTGGGTTGCTCTTTGAAGTAAAAGAACTGAAGTTGTGTCACTGCTGGGGGCCCCCGAGGAATGGAGACAGGCTTGCCGATGGACCAAGCACGCGGTGTGTCCAGCTGGCTACCGACCCTGCACACTTCTGCACTACCGGTGAGATAAGAACCAAGAGTTCCTCTGGTCCCCGGGTAGAAGAGGGAGGAGCCAGCCTGGGGTAAGGGAACGCAATAAATAGAGGGCAGACGAGGGACTTGGGCTCTGGAGAACAGGAGAAGCAGTTCAAGGCCTTCTGAGCCTCCAGAAATAGGACTCTCCTCGGCACCCCTTCCTGCAGCATCACCAAAGTCCACCTGGAGCAGCTTCTTAGGGCATCAGGTCTTCACCGAAGTAGGAGAAGCCTTTGAATTCCTCCTGGTTGATCTGCTTCACAATTGCTTCATCCACAAGCGTGAGTACTGGCTCTTCCCGGGTAAAGTCTTGGTCAAAGTTATTGACGTCTCTTTTGGTTTTCTGCGAGAAGAAAAGAGAAAGCACTGACTCCAGGCTGACCTTCCTCCCCACGGCCCCCCACGGGGAGTGGGCATCACACTGACCAGCCTCTCACCAAAGCAGGCCGCTAGCTACTGAGAGCAGACGCAGGGCTGCTCCGATGAGGTCACGATGGATGGCCCCAGGACCAGGAGGTGGCAGAGGACTTGGAAAGGAAGAATGAGTCCAGGTGAGAGGGAAGAAGGGGTGAGAGGGGATGATGGAAAAGCAGGGAAGTGGGATTCCCACAGACTGTTGTGTGGGGGGTAGCGTGCGTGTGTCTGGGAGAGTGGGATGCGTAGTTCTGATCTCACACTTCCCCTCCTAGTCTAACCCTCTGGCTCCATCGAGACCTCCATCCCTGTGACCCAGGGAACAAACTCGAATCAACCTCCCACAGAGTCTCCAGGGCTCTTTCTTCTCTAGAGGTAGACCTCCATAAACTTCCCAGGTCTGCTCCATGTGACATCCTCTCTGTAAGGAGGAGGATGGAGGGGGGAGGGGAGGCCATCTTCTGGGAGGCCTGTCTCCATCCCTACCTGCACCCACTAAGAGCCTTATTTTCAACTCCTACATTATTTCTATGATTACGCTCAACATGCTGACTTGCAATGAGTTGTGTGTGTTTGTCTTGACCTAGAGCTCCCTACAGGCAGGGCTCTTAGCTTATTCAGCCTTGGGTTCCCAACAATAAGCATCTACCATTGGACACGTGAGAAACAAATCCCACCACTGACTCCCCAGCTCAGAAGGACCCATACCCAGTTGGAGGCCCAAGTTCCCAAAGTAGGGCTTGTGGTCCATGGCGGGTGGAGGGCAGCAACCAAACAAATCCTGGTTTGGGGAGAGAATCTGAGAGCGTAAATGATGCTCTCCACCTCCCGGGACTTCCAGTGGATTTGGGAGCCAGTGTTCCTGTCTAGAACATACCCTGCAATAGTTATGAAAACTTTCACGGAGAAGTCAGGACTTGGCTGGGACTTGAAGAATGAGTTACAGTTGTGTTGGCAGAGATGGGACGAGGTCACCTGGGCAGGGGGATGGGGCAAAGGTGGGGGGTGGGGCAGGACCACGGGAGATGTGGAGCAGTACAAGGGGGTCAGCCAGCTGCTTGGGGCAGAGCCGGGCATGGGGATGGAGGGAGACACGGTGAGTCCAGCTGCAGGGGCCTCTAGTGCCAGCTCCCCGGCCCGCAGGACATGGCTCAATGCCCAGGGGCTTGCAGGAGCTCCTGCCGTACTCTTCCAGGCACTGCTTAACTGGTGTTACCAGGATTAGTGACCAGGGTGACAGAGTAAATCTTAGTGGAAAGATTAGCATTATTATTTGTAGGAAGAATAATATTAATATATGCTTTGTTCTGTGGAAACTAGTGACCTAAAAGATGTTAATAATTAGTCTGTGAAAAAAAAGTGGTTTTGAGACAAAGCTATTTTTGCACCCAGCTCTTGGAGATTTGCCACCTATGCTGGTGGATTAAAGCCTCTGAGACGTCCTAGAGTCAAGAAACCTGGTTCACTTTGCTTAGGACAGCCTTCCTCAAACGTGACAGGAAACTTTTTTTTTTTTCCTTCCTTTTCTCTTTTTCCTGAATAGCTTCTCCACACCTCCCTCAGGAGCAGCATTCTGCAGGACACGGTTTGGGAAGTGTGCAGCTGTATAGTTTACGAAGCAGCTTCCCATTCGTTTCCTTACTTGATCCTTGGAACACGCAGGTACTGTTATCCTGATTTTACAGATGAGGAAACCGTGGCTCAAAGAGATTTGGTGACTTGACCAGGGTCACCCGATTAGCTAAGAGCAGAGTCAGGGTCAAAGTCAGGTCTCTGCATGATGCTGCATGGAACGTCGGGAGAGCTGGTCCCTGGAGAAGAGCAAAGACATGGCAAGAATCGAAGCCCACCAGGAGACATTTAGGCCAGGCTGCTCAGCTCTAATGGAGCCAGAATGGCCTGCCAGTGGGCAAGCCTGGCAGGAGAGGCTGTGGGTTGGGGCGAGAGTGGGTGACCGACATTGGGCGAGCCCAGCATGTTTGCAGATCACCCCAGGCTGAGGTCAGAATCGGGTGCTTAGCACAGAGCAGGGAGGAGCAAATCTTTCAGCTCATCATCAGTCCTGCTTGGTGTGTTTTCTCTGGGCTTGAGCCACATAGTTCAGTAGGTCCCGGAGACCTTGGAGGGGAGACAGAAGAGATGGAAACAGGACCTGAAATGGAAGGATGTGAGTGTTGCCCTTGAGATGGGGAAGCAAAGAAGTGGCTTAGTCACTTCTACCAGGAGGCCTGGCTCCTGGGCAGGAGGATGATCTGGTCTCCACCTCCGGTGTGTACACCGCAAGAGGCAAAGGGGGCCTTGTGTGGACAGGAACTTCTGCGATGAATACCAAGCCCATCGCCACAGTGACATGGGAGGCCTGGTGCCTGGGGAAAGGGTGTGCTGATGCCTCTTCTGAACATCTCTGTCCAAGGAGGGATGGATCACTCTGACTGAGGAAGGGGTTGCTGTACCGGGTAAAATGAGTCTAGAAGGAGGAACAGGGTAGGGGGGAGTGACTTGGGAAGCACTAAGCATCATCCCAGAAGGTGACCAGGAGGTACCTTCACTGGTGGGCAGGCAGGGATGGAGAGCTGCAGAAGGGGTGGTAGTAGCTGGGTGAAGGGGAGAGGCAGGAGGGACTAGGGTGGGTGGAAAACTTTTGTAACATCGCCAAGGGTGGGCCGTGCCTGGCTCTCCGGTATCTGTGGAAGCAGGGACCCCTCTTTCCCGGCTCCTGCTCGCTGCTCATGCATGAGGGGAGCAGGTATACAGAGAACCTCAGGAAATCTGGAGCTGCTCTGGCATTGCTCCTCCCCGTGTATCTACTGCTTGTGCTTCACTTTGCAGTCATTAGTGTCCATTAGTCACGGAAACCGGTTTCATTTCCTGAGGTAAGCTGAGCATGGCGGTGGGGACAGATTCCACAGGCTGTCTGAATTCCCCCACTTGCTGACTGTAGACCCGGGAAACAGGTTCAGTGAAGCTCAGCTAGGGGTGTCCTTCCCAGAGGACCTCTGGCTCCATTTCACGCAAGTCTGGGGAGCCATCTAGTTCAGCTCTGGGCTTTCCAGGGGCCACAGAATCCCCAGTAGCATTCGAGTGACTGTGCCACTCTTTAAGAACTCTATAGAAAAATACCCTTGCCTAGCGCAGGTCCTTCCAGATCCTTGGAAGCATTTTAGGTGCATGTCCATTATTCCCAATTCAAAAAGCCAACATCCCCACTATGTGCAATTCCTATTAGCCTTAGAGACCTGAGAAGTTTTCCAAAGCAAATGGCTCTGGGAAACACCATCCGCTATTAGCAGTATGGAGACAGCATGCACAGCATCCTCCAATTTATTACTTATTACTATTATTTTTTAAAAGATTTTATTTACTCATGAGAGGCACACAGAGAGTGACAGAGACACAGGCAGAGGGAGAAGCAGATTCCCTGTGGGGAATCCAATGTGGGACTAGATCCCAGGACTCTAGGATCACACCCTGAGTCAAAGGCAGACACTCAACCACTGAGCTACCCAGGCATCCCAGCATCTTCCAATTTAAAGAGGATTGGGGATTACTTTATTCACTGATTTTATTCTTTGAAAAGCTGCTGCCTTCCTCTAAGCAAGCAGAAGACTCAACTTCAAGATGGGCAAAGCCTGACAGATACTCCCTGTTTGCCTGGATCCTTGGTCAGCCCATAAATCTCCCCTAAAATATAAATGTCAGACTCTTAGCCTGCACAGTGGAGCCTGAAAGGTGATCTGGGGCCTCTTCAGACCTTATCTCCTCCATAAAGCCCTTCCCATATCATCCTTGTCCCACACTCGGGGTGGGGGGGCGACACAGAGTAGGGTAGAGAGCACTGGCTGCCCTCTTATCCTGGGACTGTCCCTTCCTGATTACATGATACTGTGTGAAGTCACTCTTTGAGACTTAGTCTTTTCATCTGTAAAACGGAGGTAAAAAGGTTGCCTTGAGGACTCCATGAGATGTCAGATGTTAGGTGACTGATTGGAGATCCCAACATATAATGGGCCCCCAATAAAGGCGCCTCCAAGTCTTTGTGCCATGGGCACGCATCAGGTGTGCCACCTGTGTGCCATGGGCATGCATCAGGTACAGCGTGTGCCATGGGCACGCATCAGGTACAGCGTGGCTGTTACCAACACAGTCTGTGGGATCTGCCCATTGATGCCATGAGCTTCTCGGAGGAGGGACTGAGTCTTACATTTCTCTGTATGCCTCCAAATGCTGAACTAGTGCAGAGCCACGGTCTACCTGACATCCCAGTGCTTTTTCCAGAGATTGAGATTCTTCCAATGGTACCTGATAGCTCTTGGGAAAAATCCTGGGGTCTCAGGTCCTTCAGGGTCTCATCCTCACCTAATTGCCCACTTCTTCTAGGCGCTTGTGCACCATGAGGTTCTCTGGATTCACTGGCTTCCCTCGACTCCAAGCCTTTGTACAGCTAATCCTTGGCCTGCAACCCACTCTCCCAATCCCATCTTCGGCCCCACGTCCTCATCACCCAGCTGAATTTCTCACCTTTCCCATTCCGACTTAGATACCCTTCCTTCAAGCAGTCTTCCTGTCCTTCCATGCCTCTTATGGGTGGCCCATCATCTCTCCTAACTCATCACAGCACGGATCACATGTATCCTCCTCCTTTTTGACTAATCCATGAGCCTTGGGGACAAGGACTGGTTTGAAGTCACCTTCCATCCCCAGCCTAGTGCCTTGTCCAGCACACAGTGAACGCTCAATAAATATCTGTTGGAAAATGAGTGAATGCACCTCTCTTGCTGCTACTGTATCTACAGCTGGTAAAGCGCTCTGGATTTAGGACCACTGGCAGCTGTTAGACCAGAGGGGCTTTTCATCTGGGGGAGTGTGCAGGCCAAGTGGTGAGATGGCTGACATCTGACCCACGCGGGGCCTAGAGCAGGGAGGCCCAGA